CCCTGCCAGCTCGCCTACCAGGCCTGGGTGACCAACACCAGGACGGCGCTGCGGCAGCGGGAGCAGCCGGAGTCCCCCGGCGCCGAGGCTGCTGCAGGTGGGTCTGGCTCACCCCAAAATGGGGCTGGGGGGGGGCAGGAGGGGACACAGCCCTGCCCTGTGCCCGCTGTTTGCCCTGGCAGCGATCGGCATCCCATAAGAGGGCATCCCCTCAGTCCCTGAGGGGCGTGTGGACTCTCTGATGGCTACAATGGGGTTGCGCTGGTTTTGAAGATGAATCGGGGGGACGGGGCGATAGGTGGGAGAAACCCAATGGGGGCCAGAAATGATGTCCAGCCTCTGCTGAGCTGGTGCTACCCCTTCCCGGGGGGGTCTGACCCTTGCAGGGGAAAACGGAGGGAGGGAGGAGGAGTTGGAGGTGCCTGAAGAGGCCGAAGTCCAGGAGGAAGAGGAGGAGGAAGGCTCCGGTAGGTGGGCAGCACAAGGTGGGTGGTGGTGGGGGGGTCTGAGCGGGCATGAAGTGACCCCCCTGCCTCTCCCCTCGCCCCGGCAGAGCGGAGCAACGTGGTGCAGCGGGCGCTGAACACCCTGCGGTTCCTGTGGGTGCTGTGCCGGGCCATGGTGGACGGGCTGACGCAGTGGCTGGACGCCTGCACCCGGGAGCACGCCGACATGTCCGCGGTCCTGCGCCTCGAGAGATACGTCCTCACGCGCCGCCTGGCCACCGTGAGCCCCGGGCTTGGGGACACACACACACACACTGGCGGGGGGGGCACAGGGAGGGGGTGGCAGCACCGCGGTGGCATTTACTGACCCCCCCGCCCCGCTGCAGGGAGAGAACGTGCACCGCGGGCTCCTGGATGAGCTCTACCTGCCGCCGCTGGAGGAGCCCCCCGAGGAGCTGAGCCCGCGGGGGGCCGGGGGGGTGGACCCCCAAAACGGCGTCGCTTCCAGGCAGGTGCATAGATACCCCCCGAGGGGGCAGCCGGCAGCGCCGCGGGCGAGGGCTGGCAGGGGGCACGGGGCTCACCCCTGTCCCCGTGCTGTCCCCAGCGGGCACCAAGGAGCCACCCCTGCCCCGGGGGGATACCCGCAGCCCGCCGACACCCAGGAGCAGGAGCAGGTGACAACCTGGGGGTCCCAGGACAACGTGGCTGGGTCTCGGGAACTCCTGGCCTTGCCCCAGAACCGGAGCCGGACGGCCAGCGAGCTCCTCCTGAGCAGGTACGGGGACGTGGGGACCGTGGGGATGGGGCTGGGGGGTGACAGAGCCAGCTCCCCCCGCCCTGGGATGTGGGGATGAGGATGGGGGGTGGCAGGGCCAGCTCACCCCCCTGCGCCCCGCAGGCGCCTGTACTTCCCCGAGCTGGAAGAGTCGGAGCAGTTTTATCGCTCCCACAACCGGTTCCTGAAGCTGCTGCTGGCCGGTTACCTCTGCGTGGCCGCCCACTCCGAGCTGCTCTGTTACTTCATCATCATCCTCAACAACATGGTGACCGCCTCCGTCATCTCCCTCTTCCTGCCCATCCTCGTCTTCCTCTGGGCCATGCTCTCCATCCCCCGGCCCAGCAAGCGCTTCTGGATGACCGCCATCATCTTCACCGAGGTTGGCGAGGGGTGACCGCCGAGCGGGACGATGCCACCCGGCCCCCGGCTGCCACCCGCTGACCCCCAACGTCCCCGCAGGTGATGGTGGTGGTGAAATACCTCTTCCAGTTCGGGTTCTTCCCCTGGAACGGCTACGCCATGCTGGTACGCAACGAGGGGAAGCCCTTCTTCCCCCCCCGCATCCTGGGCTTGGAGAAGAGCGACCGCTACATCAAATACGACCTCATCCAGCTCCTGGCGCTTTTCTTCCATCGCTCCCTGCTGCTGGTGAGCCCTGGGGAGCCGGCACCACCCGGGTGGGCGTCCCCTGGTGGCTAGAGGTGCTCCTGGGGGGGGATGAAGGCTCTGGAGAGCACCCAGTGGGTGCTTGGGGGCTCGGCCTTGGTTTCCACCCAAGGCACCTGTTGCTGGTTGGGTCCTTGGGGTGCTGTGGGATGGGGCTGGGGGGGGCCATCAGGACCCCGTCGCCCTGACCACGGCCCTCCCCAGTCCTACGGGCTGTGGGACCACGAGGAGGACCCCTTCCCCAAGAAGAAAGCGGAGGCGGAGCGGGCGGAGGATGAGGAAGAGGAGGAGAGGCGGGAGGAGGCAGCGTTGGGCGAGGAAGGGACGGAGGCGCTGGCAGAGCCGGGGGCACTGGGTGCAGCCGTGGGGCCGGAGCCGGAGGGTGATGCCGTGGGGCAGGAAGAGGAGGCCGGGGCCACGCAGCTGCGCTTCAGGAGGAAGAGGAGGCGGGGGAAGAAGCAGCCGGAGGCGGCTCCGGAGGAAGGTGAGCACCAGTTTTGCACCTTGGCGAGGGGCAAGGCTGGCACCCCCCGGATAGAAGGGTGCTGGGCCCGGGCAGGATGCGGCCCTGCTGTCACCCACACTGTCACCCCAGCTGTCACCCACACTGTGCCTCACTCGCAGGGGAGGGGGAGGAGGAGGAGGAAGAGGAGGAGGAAGAGGCAAAACAGAGCCACGCTCAGAAGAAGCTGAAGGCGTTTGGGCTGCGGGTCAAGCTCTTCTTCCTCACCCTGTGAGTGCCCCGCGGTGCTGGCTCGGGGGGGAGTGATGCGGGGTGCAGCCCCCGGTCACCCCTCTCTGTCCCCTCTGTCCCTTCCAGGGCGCAGAACATGTACCAGCCGGTGCGCAGGTTTTTCCGGGACATCCTGCACACCCAGCACCGAGCGGCCACCGACGTCTACGCCTTCATGTTCCTGGCTGACGTGGTTGACTTCATCATCATCATCTTCGGCTTCTGGGCCTTTGGGGTGAGCAGGGGGGGTCCCGCAGGGCAGCGACAGGTCGGTCCCACCACGGGGTGAGGCTGGGCTGTGTCCTGACTTCTCCTGCATCCCCAGAAACACACGGCGGCCGCGGATATCACCTCCTCGCTGTCGGATGACCAAGTGCCAGAGGCCTTCCTGGTCATGCTGCTCATCCAGTTCACCACCATGGTCATCGACCGCGCGCTTTACCTCCGCAAGACCGTGCTGGGCAAGCTCATCTTCCAGGTCATCCTGGTCTTCAGCATCCACCTCTGGATGTTCTTCATCCTGCCGGCCGTCACCGAGAGGTACCGAGTATCTCCTAAGGATGTCCCTCACCCCTAGGGTGGCACCTTTGTGTCCCCAATGTGGTGGCCCAACCTGAGCGGGAAGGTGGCCGGAGGGGTGACACCTTCCTCCTGCAGGTTGTTCAGCCTCAACACGGTGGCCCAGCTGTGGTACTTCGTGAAGTGCATCTACTTCTCATTATCGGCCTACCAGATCCGCTGCGGCTACCCCACCCGCATCCTGGGCAACTTCCTCACCAAGAAATACAACCACCTCAACCTCTTCCTCTTCCAGGGGTACAGTGTGGCTCCCCGCGGCCCCCCAGCTGCCCAGAGGGTGCCGTACCAGCCCCTTCTCCCCGTGTCCTCCCCAGGTTTCGCCTCGTGCCTTTCCTGGTGGAGCTGCGGGCCGTCATGGACTGGGTCTGGACAGACACCACGCTGTCCCTCTCCAACTGGATGTGCGTGGAGGACATCTACGCCAACATCTTCATCATCAAGTGCAGCCGCGAGACGGAGAAGGTACGGCCCTGCCGTGCTGGGAAGGGCCCCCCAATAAGCCTCTTGTTGCTTGGGGTTCCCCCAGGCCTGCCTGGCACCGCGTACTGTCTCCCCCCTCCCAGAAATACCCCCAGCCCAAGGGGCAGAAGAAGAAGAAGATTGTGAAGTACGGCATGGGGGGCCTCATCATCCTCTTCCTCGTGGCCATCATCTGGTTCCCGCTGCTCTTCATGTCCCTAGTGCGCTCCGTGGTGGGCGTTGTGAACCACCCCATCGACGTCACCGTCACCCTCAAGCTGGGGGGGTACGAGGTGAGGATGCAGAGGGGGGGTGTGGGTGCCCAGCGCGGATGCTGGGGTCCCCTGCGTGGCTGATGGCACCTCGTCCCCCCGCAGCCCCTGTTCACCATGAGCGCCCAGCAGCAATCCATCCAGCCCTTCACCCCCCAGGACTACGAAGCCCTCACCAACCAGTTTGAGAGGCAGCCGGTAAATAATCCCACTCCCCCCCCCGGCCTTCAAATCCCCCCACCTTGCTCCATCCTGCTGGGCAGG